ACACCATAAGGAATACTCTAATTTGCATAGATGCTGGGATTGTTTTACACTGTTGAAACTTTTCCGTGAGAATAGATTCTGTGCTTTCATGTGATGCTCATTAAGCTGTCTGTGAAATCAGAAGATGAGTAACAGCATTGCACCACGCTTAAGGTTATGCAGGTCCTGCACAAAAACTTCTCTTTGTTAATTAGCTAATAGTTTTCTGAAAATCAGTAGAAAGAGGAAGCAAATCAGGATTTCATGTATCACTTGAGCATGAAACTCCAATGGGGAAATTAGTCTAAAACCATCCAAGAGAAGCTCTGGTCCGTATATAATGATAATAATTAGGAAAATGGGAATTTTTTCAGTGAAGTTTCTCCTTATTGCTATACTCAGTTGATATAATATTACCGTTTGCATCTATGAAACATTATTAGGTTTTCCTCATGTGAAAGTCCTCAAGGCATATTCACATGTCTTAGCCTATAAATATTTTATAGTGATAGTTATTTAAGATGAGTGGCAGTATTTTTTGAGTCAACCTTTGGAAGAAAATAACAAAGCTACAAATTCTTCCAGTATACTGTAAGATGAATAAAAAGTTCCTAGCCACTGAGTCACCTTTGGCAGCACAGATCATATGGGCGTTTAGAATCCAGGTGCCATATCATACACTATGTGCCACAAAGGTTATTAGCTTTATAAATTGACTGTCTTCCCAGCTAGCTCTAGCTAGGCGACTAGAATGAGTTTCAAAATGCATATACACAGTAGAAAGGGTGACATGGTGTGCTAATATCTGTTGCTATTCAATGCCATTCCTGTCAATCTAAGTTCTCCGTATATAATTGTCTGGAAGCTTGAATCAATATTCTGTAGCTTTCCTTGCCTGTAGGATTCTGGTTTAGATTTCCTATTATGCTATTTTAAATCCAACATAATTATCAAGTGCATACTAAATGATTAATACTGCACTATTCAGTATGGGGAAATCCAAAAAGAATGAGACCCAGCTGTTGATGTCAAGGGATATAAAACCTTATAATACTCCCTACAGCACATAATATCATGATCTGAATGCCTTACAAACTTAGAAATTCTTGTTACACTGATCTCACAATGAAGGTCCCGTAAACTCTGGATAAACAGAATATATAGATTGACATCTATTTAATTCATTTGGCAGTATCCACTGAGTTCATGTTATGTTCCAGACAATACTAGGTACTGGAAAATAAAAAATATATGTAGGATACATGCTGTATTAGTCTGTTTTCATGCTGCTGATAAAGACATACCTGAGACTGGGCAATATATAAAGAAAAAGAAGATTAATGGGCTCACAATTCCACAGGGCTGGGGAGGCCTCACAATCATGGTGAAAGGTGAAAGTCATGTCTTACATAGTGGGAAGCAAGAGAGAATGAGAGCCAAATGAAAGGGGAAACCTCTTATAAAACCATCAGATCTCATGAGATTTATTCACTACCATGAGAACAATATGGGAGAAACCACCCCCATTATTCAATGATCTCCCATGGGGTCCTTCCCACAACATATGGGATTTATGGGAGCTATAATTCAAGATGAGATTTGGGTGGGGACACAGCTGAATCATATCAAATGGTACATTCTACATATACCATAGTTATTATATAATATTTAATAACCACAGTTATTAAGCATATGATTTCTGATGCCTGGCTAATTGGCTTTAAATTCTTACTCTCCTGCTTATTTTGGAAACTAATTTCCTAAGACAGATTCTCAATGAACAATGCTTCTTAGTACACATTCTCTGTCCTGTTAGAATCGCAGGCTGGCTCTGGGCAATATAAGACGACAAAAGTGACTTCCCAGGCTAGGTCATAAAAGTCTTACAGCTTCCTCCTGGGACTTCCTGGGACGTTTTCTCTGTAGAGAAAATCCAGCTATCTATAACATGGTCAATCACTCTGACACTGCCTTGATGGGTGGAAGCCTGGACTTAGCCAAATGGAAAGCCACACAGAGGAAGATAAATGTGTCTGCCAAGCCCCCAGTTGTGCTAACCAACCCAATGGAAACCCCTGACATGTGAGGGAAGTGGGCAGCATCTTTGTCTATCCCAATCAGGCCTTCAGCTGACTCCAGTTCTGGAATAATAGGACTTCAGGCACAGGGAAGAGCCTCACAGCCAGGTCAGGTCAATCCACACAACAGCATGGGAGAATTATAAACTATTGTTTTAGACAATCATGTTTTGGGGGTAATTTATTGGATAGGAGTAGATCCTTAGAACACTTATACACTGTGTGAGTATAACTAAGTTAATTTCCATTTACCTTAACTACTTTATTGAGGAGATGGGGACAGTCTATATCTCCTAGGCTTGATGTGCCTGGACTTTAATAAGGCCTTAGCTTTCACTACCCTGTAGACCTGCACTGTTCATTATTGCAGCTACTGGCCATCTGTGCTAGTGACATATGAAAGGTTGCCACTCCCAGCTGAGGGTGCTATAAGTATCAACCACACAATGATAGATAATAGAAGGGTGGTTCCCAGAGGCTAGGAAGGGTAGTAGGAGGCGGGGAGAAGGTGGGGATGGTTAGCGGGTACAAAATATCGTTAGAAAGAATAAATAATGCTTAGTATTTGATAGTACCATAGAGTGACTATACTAAGAATAATTTAATGGCATGCTTTAAAATAACCTAAAGGAGTATAACTGGGTGGTTTGTAACACCAAGGATAAACATGTAAAAGGATGGTTATCTCATTTTCCGTGATGTGATTATTATGCATTGCATGCCTTTATCAAAATATCACATGTACTCTATTGATATATACAATTACTATGTACCCACAGAAATTAAAAATAAAATATTTTTTAAAACCATAAGAACAAACAAAATAAATATACAATGAATTTGAAATAGTGTGGGAAAAAAAGGAGTGTAAAATATTGCATTAACATTTTTAAATTGTGTGTACATATTGAAATTATAATATTTTAAATATAGGAAGTTAAATATAACATTTTATTAAAATTATTTATTTTCTTCCTTTAAATGTTCTTACTAGGAAGCTTTAAAACTACAAATGTAGCTTGCATGTGTGGTATAATTTTATTTCCATTGGATGGCATTGCTTCAGGATATCAATACCATAAGAGCAAGACTTTGTGCCTCTAAAACGTAGTGTCTCTAAAAGCATCTGCCATATAGAAGACACAGAATACACACACACACACACACACACACAAACACACACACACATATATATATATAATGGGTACATTGTAGGTATATTTATTTATGTGGTATATGAGATATTTTGATACAGACATACAATGTGCAACAATCAAATCAGGGTAAATGGGATCTCCATCCCCTCAAGCATTTATCCTTTGTGTTACAAACCATCCAACTGCACTCTTTTAGTTAGTTAAAAACGTACAATCAAACTATCATTGACTATGACTACCCTGTTTTGCTATCAAATCCTGGATCTTGTTTATTCTTCTAAATATTTTTTTGTATCCATTAACCATACTCACTCCCCCAACCTCCACTACCCTTCCCAGCCCCTAGTAACTGTCATTCTACTCTCTTTCTCCATGAGTTCAATTCTTTTAACGTTTAGCTCCCACAAATATGTGAGAATATGAAAAGTTTGTCTTTCTGTGCCTGGCTTATTTCATTTAACATGATGATCTCCAGTTTCATCCATGTTGTTGCAAATGACAGGATTTCATTCTTTTTTATGGCTGAATAGTACTCCATTGCATCTATGTACCACATTTTCTTAATCTATTCCTCTGCTATGGACACTGAGGTTGCTTCCCAATCTTGGCTACTGTGAATAGTGTTGCAACAAACTTGGGAGTATAGATATCTCTTTGATACACTGATTTCCCTTCTTTTGGGTACGTACCTAGTAGTGGCAAAATAAATATTTGTTGAATAAATGAACGACGCCCACATCCAAATTAGGTTTTTCTCATCTTAGTAATGTTTCCTTAACCTTCTTTAAATAGTTTTGTGTGATGAGCCCATACATATTGAGTCTACCCTTAGATAATCCATGATTATTTGATAATTCTCAGGATATAAATTTATTTGCAAATGCTAAATTTATATATATATATATATATATATATATATATATATATATATATGTATTTGAGATGGAGTCTTGCTCTGTTGCCCAGAGCAATGGCACAATCTGGGCTCACTGCAACCTCTGCCTCCTAGGTTCAAGCAATTCTGCTGCCTCAGCCTCCTGAGTAGCTGGGAATACAGGCATCCACCACCATGCCCAGCTAATTTTTTGTATTTTAGTAGAGACGGGGTTTCACCATGTTGGTCAGGTTGGTCAAACTCTTGACCTCAGGTAATCCCCCTGCCTCCCAAAGTGCTGGGATTACAGGAATGAGCCAATGTGCCCTGCCAATTTTTAAAAAGATTTTAGGGTCATCCAATCACTCTTTCAGTGAAGTATAGCAAGGTAAGTTTCATGCTCACACAGTGTGTATGCATGTAAAACTTGCATGAATTTCTTAAAAGTCTTGGTTGGATTTGCTTACATTTAGGAAAATTGCTGAATAAAGACATATTTGCATTGTTTGCAAGGCCTTTAATGTAGCACAAATAGGGTTAGCCAGGGCAAAACTTCTGTGAAGTAAAAATCAACTGGTTATTTATGTGTACTACATGTTTTCCCCATGAAATGCTGTAGTGCAATTGCCAGCCTCCATCCTGAGGCACTGTGCCATTTACGTTGAAAAATAGAAATGAGTGCATTGTGACCCATTTTTACTTCTCCTGTGTCCTTTGTAGGTGATATAGAATTTTTTATTGCAATCAACAGCATCAATTGAGTTTAAACAGAGTAGCTTTTTAAAAAGGGGATACAGTAGGTACAGGAACAGTTAGCAAGATTACAGGACTAGATTAAACCACCAGGATCTGGAAAGGTAGAACTAAAGGTGGCTCTGAAGAGGGACTGGCATCATACCTTCAAGTACCCACCTTGACCCTGTCTCTCCAGCTTTGTCTCAGCTGATGTTTCTGTTTTCACCGAATCCTCTCGGACCAACTTTCTCATGAGGCCTAAATGGGGCCCAGCATTTTTGGGGTCTGCAGCTTCAGATTCCCTATTGGAGAGAAAAAGGTCACTCTTCTATGTGCTATTTAAAAAATCCTGGAAAATAAGCTGGCTTGAATTGCGTATCTATCGCTGGATCACCCTGGTGGACCAGGGTACCATTCCCACAATAAGCACTTTATTAAAAGGAACAGGGTTGAAGTAGTTCCTGAAAAAATAGAGTGAAACTTGGAGAAGGGAAAGGAAGAGGGGCAGATCAGACAAAACATGACAAGTCCACTGTAGTACACAGTAATGATCTAACCACTGGATTTCATATTTTAAAGTATGGTGGATGACATTATTGCCTAGACATAAATTCTTCCCAATGGTAACAGTTTAACAGCTGAAAAGTGGCTATACTCCTTTTACAGATAAGCAAATTAAAAAAAAAATTGAAATGCTTGCATTTTAATATTGTATTTAATTTTGGATATTTACCAATGAGGAAGAGAAGCAAGGATGTTTTCTGTTCCTGACATTGGGTTTAGCAGGGCAGGAATAATGTTATCTATTAATGAGCAGAGATGTTAGCTGAAGAGGTCTGGCTATGTTCCAATTTGGTTAATTAAATCCTACCTGCTTAAATTCTGTCTTTATTTTCAAATGAATATTCACTGTTATTTCTCATTTGAAAAATTGTCTCATGTTATGAGTTTTGGACCAGTAGCTTATTTGTGAGGCAAATAATTTTAGTTTACTTTGAGTTCAAAACATCCTAGTTGCTGTTTAATATTATACTCTTTTTTCAACTATTATATTCTTTTTGTCTTGACTTTCACATGCTTTTCTTATGACTATAGTAATAGAATGATATATTGTTTAACAATGATAACACAACCTTTTAAAATCATTTATCTGTTTCTCGTAGTGATAGCAAATTATATAACAACAGGACTGATGGAAGACAAGCTTGATTTGACCCATTAGATATGGCTTTTCTACACAATAACATTTGGATTAATGTATAAAATCTAAAATGAGCATGTTGCTAATTGGGAAAGGATCAAATCAAAATTAAATTATCTCTAATCAGGGATTATTTTGTGAGACCCTACCCCATTTCATGGAATCCTTTGTACAATATGCCAAATTGATACAGTGCAGTTGAAATAAAAGATATGTTCCAACTTATTTTTCTAAATTTTTATTGAAAAGTAAGACTCAGGGGTGTGTGTATGTGTGTGTATATGTGTGTGTGTGTGTGTGTGTGTGTGTGTGCGCGCGTGCATTTACTAAACAAAGGCCATGTGATCTAATGAGTAATTATAGTATTATGTTTTGGGAAGAAATTGTGAAGTATTAATTGATTTATCTGTTTTTTTTGTTAAAATTTTGTTATTTTTTTTCAAAGGAGATGTGAATGCTTTATCTCTTTTTATAATTATACTTAAGTTATGGGATACATGTACAGACATACAGGTTTGTTACATAGGTATATGTATAGGTGCATGGTGGTTTGCTGTATCCATCACCCCATCATCTACATCAGATATTTCTCCTAACGCTTTTCCTCCTCTAGTCCCCCCACTCCCCCTGCTATCTCTCCCCTGGTCCCCCACCCCCCCAGTAGGCCCCAGTGTGTGATGTTCCCCTCCCTGTATCCATTTGTTCTCATTGTTCAACAACCAATTATGAGTGATAACATGCAGTGTTTGTTTTTCTGTTGTCAGTTTGCTGAGAATGATGGTTTTCAGCTATATCCATGCAATGTATATATTTTCCTAAAGGTCCTACCCTCCCAATATTAGAAAGAACAGTGGAGTTTAAGCAAGAAAATAAAGATCATGTTATCTCACCATTCAGGGATAACCACTTTTGCCTCCACTCTCATGTACATTTAATTTTTCTATATTTTTTCTTCCTTTCCTTTCTTCCTATTTTTTCTCATACACGCACACACATATGTATGCATTCTTTTCAAATATGAAGGAATCCAATGCGATAGGTTTTATAAACCTTTTTACATTTAACAGTCAACTTTGTGCCAGTAAACACTCATTAACCACAACATTCTTAACTAATTAATGTATTCATTTCTTTCTTAAGCACTGTCTATAATATTCCTGTTGTGTACTGGGCATTGTTCTAGACCTGGCAGATACCTAGATAGGCAGGAGGTAATTGCTCCCAGGGAGCTTGTATTCTAGTGATAAATTAAATGCAATAGGTACACACACAAATTGGAAAACATCAGACGTTGATTCGTGTAAGACAGATAAATAATTTACAGTGAGGGAATAGAGAATGATTGATTTGTGTGGTCCAAAAAAATCTCTGAATCCATAACATTTGAATTATAAGATTTGAATGACAAGAAGAAAGAATTATGTTGGCAGATTATATTTGTGATAGAATTCCAGACAGAGAGAACACTGAGGTGAAATGTCCCAAGGCCTTGAAATGTTGGCAAAACAGGTAAAAGGGTGTGGGGTGGAGAGAGTATTACATATAAAAGGATGAGAGATTTCTAGGTGCCAAAATTTGTAAGGTTATGAATACCAAGTAAGCAAACTTGGAGTTTATCCTCAGTGTTATAGGAAGTTACACAAGTGCCATGCCCTTTGCCTGTTTGTTTAAATTTTTATTTATTTATTTATTTATTTATTTAGAGACAGGATCTCACTCTGTCTTTTGCCCAGGCTGGAATGCAGTGGCACAATCATGGCTCTCTGCAGCCTTGAACTCCTGGGCTCAAGTGATCCTCCCACCTCAGCTTCTCGAGTAGCTAGGACTACATGTAAGCACCACGGCTAATTTAAAAAAAAAAAAATTGTAGAGACTGGAGCCTTGCTGTGTTACTCAAGCTGGTCTCAAACTCCTGGCCTCAAGTGATCCTCCTGCCTCAGCCTCCTGAAATGCTGGGATTACAGCCATGAGCCACAGTGCCCAGCAAGTGATAAGTTTTAATTAATATTTTTAACGAAAGATCATTCTGGCTGCTGGGTGCAGATTTTACTAGACAGAGGTTGGAGGAGAAGCACAGAAATCAGGTAGCAGGCTCTTGCAGTGGCCAAGGCAGAGACCACAGGCTTCTGGGCTGTGATTACTGTCAGGAAGACAGGCAGGCTCAGAGTAGGTTTTGGAGAATGATGAAGCAGGGTCTGCCAATGGCTGGGGATTGGGGTGATATCTGAGAAAATGAGAACAATTAATATCATCTCTAGATCAACACAGTCCAATAGAAAAAGGTGTAAGACACATTTGCAATTTGTTTTCTAGTAGCCAGTTTGAAAAAGTAAAAGGAATAAGAGAAATTAATTTTAATGATCTATTTAATTCTTCATACTCAAAATATAGTTCCAATGTATAGTTAATACAAATATTAATAAATAATGCTACATTAAAAAACTTTTTTTTTGGTGCTAATCCTTTGAAACCTGCTTTGTATTTTACACTTAGAACACATCTTAATTCAGGTTAACCACACACATTTCAAGGGCTCAAGAGCCACGTGTGCCTAGGTAGTTAACATATTAAACAACACCACTGTAGATATTTGGCCTCACAGTTGGAAGTACGGTGGTATCTGTTCCTGAAATAGAAGAAAAATGGAAGAAGTACAGAATTGCAGAGGCTGCAATCAAGAATTTTATTTTAATCCTAAGAGGTTTTGATGTATGTTAGACATCCAAATGGAGCTGAGAGTTAACAGTTGAACCTATTTAATAGCTTATTAATATTCAGTTAAACAGATGTAACATAATTTGTATTAACAGCCCTTTACCTCAGGAATATTTAAAATATTATGCTTTTATCAAATATAGTACAATGTAATCTCGTATAGTTGTAACTTTGTTTACTTTCTGAAATCTTCAAATCATTATTTCTAGAAGCAGAAATTATATGTCTTAGTATACTCCTACCTTAAAGGCTTTTGATATGTTGACCACTTTTTCTGCAAAAATATTAGATTCATTTGTTTTTTATTAGCAATATATGACAAAGCTATATCTTTCATACTCTCACTATTACTGATATGATGAGGTTTTAAACACACATATCTTAAAAAGCCCATCTCTGATGAAGAGTTTTTGACATTGCGCAAGTAAGACACAATGACCAGAAAAGAGTCATTCCAGTAAGAAGCTCTGATTCCAGTGAGGAAAGGAGGAAAGCTTTATTAGAAGGGTATTCAGTGGTAACTCAAATATGTGGCTTTTTGTTTCTTTAAGTTTTTTTTTTTTTTCTCCAAGCAAACATTAGCTATCAACAATAACAGTTTCATGGGGAAAAGCTCATGGAATTCTCTTGGTTTATGTAGACTGAATCATATCTATAAAAAGACATTTTGAATCATTAAATCTGTAAGATGTTTGCCCTCTAAAATATTTCTCAATTTAGAAAGCTGTGAATAAAGATAAACTAATCTATAAACTATTCTTTTCAAATATATGACCAACTTTTGCAAACATAGAGGTCTATTTGTATTATACCTGTGTTTACCCCTGGCATTTCATTTGCGGTTGTGTTTTTCCCCAATTCAAATTTGACGCAAAATACATTCATTAAAATTGACATTAATAATCTCTCTTCATATTTAGCAAGCTGTGATCTCCAAGGGTTGAGGTTGTGAGAGCTATTGTGTTCATTTATTCATTATATAAATACATATTATCCTGAAAGTGAGTACAGATAAATCAGTTATGAACAGAAGACATACACTATCTCTAAAATATGGAAGCTTAGATGCTGGTAGGGAGACAGATATTTACAAAATAATTACATAAGTAAATATGAAATATCAAATTTGTTATGTGGCATAAAAGATAAATCCATGGTAATATAAAAGCCTAAAATAGAATAATTTGATCTATTCAAGAACATCAGGAAAGACATCCCAAAGAAGACAATTGACCCAAAGTTTACTGATGAGTGGGAAGGAATTTACTAGACAGCAAGGAGAACAGAAAGATACAGAAAGGTTAATGTGACTTTGATGGAAAGAGTGAGGACAATTCGTGAGAGCTGAGTCCACTGAAGAGGAAGAGAAATCAGACTAGTTGTCTGGGCTATAGAGGATGCAGTGGGATTTCTCTTGCATTTATTCTAAAAGCAAGAGAAAGCTTTGAATTTTTCCATCAGGGATGTTCCATGATCAGATATGATACTGAGAAAATCATTTTGAATGCAATGTAGAGAACACATTGGAAGGATTAAGAAAGAATATCAGTAGGTCATTTAGGAGAAAAGTCACAGTAGTTCAAGGTAGACTCTGGTTGTCAACAACAGGTTGATGTATTTAAAGACATGGTACTTGGTGAGATCTCCTAGATAGTAGTATACAGGAAGAAGAGAAGAGGATCAGAATCTAGATAGTCATAAGCAAACTAGAATTGCCAAATGTTACATAAAACCCATACCGTAAAGGCTGTGTATTTATTTTACAAAGGTATTAATTTGATGGGCCTTTAAAATAAAGACTTGATAAAGAATTAAATATTGCTTTCTAAAAATCCAGTTTATATGTAATACGAGTTAACGAGTATATCTAGATCAAAGAGAAGTTCAATTTTACTTTTGTATTTCTCCTTTCTCCCTCATACAAGAGTACTATATTCAGGATTTCAAGTGGAAGAAACAGACAAGTTCATGTACATTTGATTTCAGGCATTGTGTAAACAAGCAAATGATATTACATAGAGTCAGAATTTTAAGGGACTTTATCTTTTGCTTAAAAAAAATTGGTACTTCAGGATTTTCCTCAAATATGAGATTGTATCATTGGCAAACATAGATAGTTTAACTTCCCTTTTCAAATTTAGATGTCCTTTATTTCTCTCTCTTGCTTGATTGCTCTGTCTAGAACTCTCAGTACTACGCTAAATAGGAGTGGTGAAAGTGAGCATCCTTGTCTTGTTCCAGTTCCTAGGGGGAGTGCTTTCAACTTTTCTCCATTTGGTATGATGCTGGTGGTGGGTTTGTCAAAAATAGATCTTATTATTTTGAGGTATGTTTCTTCTATGCCTAGTTTCTTAAAGGTTTTTAATCATGAAGGGTTACTGGATGCTTTTTCTGTATCTATTGAAATAATTATATGTTTTTGTTTTAAATTATTTATGTGATGAATCACATTTATTGATTTGCTTATGTTGAACCATCCTTGCATCCCTGGAATGAAACCCATTTGATCATCTTTTTGATGTGCTGTTGGATTGGATTTGCTACTATTTTGTGGAGGATTTTTTCATTTATGTTTATAAGGGATATCACGTAGGTCTGTAGTTTTGTTTGTATGTGTGTGTCCTTTGTGGGCTTTGGTATCAGGGTGATCCTGGCTTTGTAGAAAGAATTTGCAAGTTTCTGGAATGTAAAACATAAACAGTGATATGAAGAAACATTTTTTATTAAAGGCTTTATCTGCACATGTAAAAATATTAATGTCTTTAAAAACATTCCAAAGTTTTTATAGACATAAAATAAAGCAAGGGAAGTGTTGTGTCATTTTGAAGATAAGTCTGATATTCTGCACTCTGGGGATATGTTCTACTAATCCAAAAACTTAAATTGACTTTGACCTAAATAGTGCCAACCAGTTTAATTAAATATAGGGCTGGAGGAAACATTATATGATTATTGTAGTCTAAGTGCTATTTTGATTTTCTCACTATTAACATAAACCCAAAAATTGAATTTAGAATTATAACTGAATAAGAGCAACTTCACCATCACCTCCAATCCATGGAAGTCTAAAAAACCAAACAAACAAGCAAAACAAAAATTTTAAAAAATGATAATAGATAACATAATTGACCAGAAAAATTAAGTTGTCTCAATTACTCTATTGTGTTACCTTCAGCTTTTTCGAATGTAGCACATAAATTGGGGTTGATTTATGCTTAATACAACCACATGATCATTCACACACTCTCCCTCTCTTGAGTTCATAGATTTAAGCATATAGCTTCATGGTTTTTATCTCTGAAAAGTCCACCAATCTGATATATCCAATTTAATATTTCAAAACTGTAGCAAACACATGAAACCCTGACAACTCTCATGGTGATACAGAAAATTTAAAACAAAGTATTTGTTATCAGAAACATACCTACAAGAGCACTGAAGTTTTTCTTTCTAGATTCCATCTTGAGGCAAAATGCATCATGTAGCCATGGGCACACCACATTTAAAATAGAGCAACTGCTGATATGGTGTTGAGCAGTGATATATGCTGGGCTGTTTGGGAAGCAAAGGAAAGATCTCATGTTTACTGGTAAAATATAGCAACCGAAAATAGATTGTTTTTTTCCATTCTATGGGTAATAATAATGAAAATGAAAAGTTGGGTAATGCTCTTAGCTAACTATTCTGTATTACAAAGAGACAATCCATTCCTAATTTAAATAAGATCAGTGTTTGGCATCTGTCAAAGACATGAGCAAACTTACAAGTTCTAAGATTTCCATGTCTCTCCCAAAATTCCCCAATAGGGCCAGTGCTAGATTATATTTGGAATTTTGAAAAACCTATATATATATATATATATATATATATATGCTCTATTACTTATGTTAATATGAGTACATGAGCATATTTTTCAACTGGAAGGCTACCTCGGCATGATGAAGTTGAAGCATGAATAGGAAACTTCTACAAGAAGCCAAGAGAGGGGAAAATGGGAAGGTAAACACAGTCTGTTCCTACTAAACTTTTTTTCTGAAATCACTATAAATAGGCATCCAGGTTAGGAGAACAGTGATATGTACAGTGAGGGCCAGAGAAAGGTATGCAAGATTCAATTACATTTAAAATTTATTACCTAAAGTCTTGACTCCTCTAGCCAAGCAAGTAAACAAACAAGTACACAAAATGACCTTTTCTCTTTATGAGAAGACCTAAATGTCATCACTAAAACAGGTGAAGAGACTCATTTAACTGAACCAGTTCGGGAAATTAGAAGTGGTCATTCAGCGAATAGAAATGGAGGACATTTGTTATGAAAGACATGGTCATCTTTATGTCTTTCCTAATCCAATTTATATTAATAAAACATCATGCTTATAGCATAAGCATCCTAAGTGAAAAGTTATGCATAAATTGGGATTTGTTTTGTGGTACTGTTTGTTGTATGTTTTTAATTTTATATTGTGTTTTGTTCATGTTGGTTGTTTTGTCAACTAATGCTACTCAAGTGTGAGAACATAACAGCATGAGGAAGATTTACAATGTTTACCCTACTGAAGTCTCCAAGATGTCCTAAAATAAAAAGCATGCCAATCGTAATAAAACTACAGCTTATTACAGTTATTTGACTATATTTATGGAATTTTTAAAAAATTTATTATACTTTAAGTTATAGGGTGCATGTGCAGATCATGCAGGTTTGCTATGTAACCTTTTTCAAATAAAATCCTATTGATGCATACAAAGTCCTATCTAGAAAGAAAAATTATATCAAAGAAGATGTGTTCAGAAACATTGACCTAATGCACCATAGACTATAGAATAAATGAAATAAGACTACTCAAACTAACTAGAAAATAAAATGATAAACAACATTTGGATCATTCTAAAAAGTGCATTTTTTTAATTAATGAAATCAAAGGTGAGTCCTCTTACATGGGCAGTACATTTATATTTTACATTAATAATCCCTATGATTAAACTAGAGATCAGAAATTTAAGCATTAACTACCACTCATACATTTTTCTTATTTATAAAATACATTTTTTTCCCGATTGGTTCAAACAAAAAGGAATTACTTTAAATAATTGTTCTTGATGAATGCTACTGAAATTGTAAAAGTAGTCTTGTTATTTTGAGCTATCACATATTATCCATGAACTCTGAAGTTCTGTAGTTTTGTCTTATTGATTATTTGCTGTTCTAACAAAGGATATTGCTTCTGTACTTCCTTCATGAACTCAAAAGAGCATTTGGCGACATTATAAAATATATTCAGCTATTGGGTTTTTATAATAGTTAATCTTCAAGGAAAGCATGAGAACTAAAATGTCAATCAGCAAGACATTTTAAAAGAGTTGTTCATTTTTTTTTAAACTTCATCATGATACAAAAATAATCCTCTGAGAATCCTTTTTCTGCCACAATAAAAGAAACAACAATTATGATAAACTTATTTTTTTAACCTAAGTCAAAACTGACTATAGAGAATTGCAACATACAGAAGATAAACATTCACTACACAGTTGACAAAAACTAGCCATAAATTCACTGGAATCATAAACTTGGACAAGGTCAAGGTTATCATTTTGTAGGTCGGATAGTTTTAGCACTAATGTGTCCCGATGATAGTTTTTATTTTTAAAAATTTTTATGTATTTATTTTTAAAAATTAATTAATTAAAATAGTTTTTGGGGAATAGGTGGTTTTGGTTACATGAATAAGTTCTTTAGTGTAATTACTGAGGTTTTAGTGCACCTATCACCTGAGCAGTGTACACTGCACCCATGTGTAGTCTTTTATCCCTCGCCCCCTCCGTCACCCAGGCTGGAGGGCAGTGGTAAGATCTTAGCACACGGCAAACTCGACTTGAGCCTTTCAGGCTCAAGTGATCCTCCCACTGCAGCCTTTCAAGTAGCTGGGACTACAGGCATGTACCACCATGTCTGGATAATTTTTATTTATGTTTTATAGAGCTGAGGTCTTACTATGCTGCCCAGGCTGATCTTGAACTCCTGGACTCAAACAATCCTCCTGCCTTGGCCTCCCAAAAAGCTGAAATTATAGGCATGAGCTACTGCACCTAGCCTGATGACTGTTTAACTTCACTTTTCATACTTTCTTCTCCATGTCCAGCTTGGTTCTTGCCAGTTTTTGCAGTTATAAATTTTCACATCAGTATCTTCATCTTTGATCACTGTAATATCATTCACAGCACCACACAAACTAGACCAATTCTCTCTGTAGTCTAGGGTAGTTTCTATTTCTTCTTTCAGGTTTTTTTATTCAAGTTATGTCACCTGCAGGCTACCATATTGTTCTGCCAGTCTTGTAACAGGATGTTCAGAATTTCCATCTAGCTCAGTGAACTTTCTCTGTCTGTCATGAAAGAGTTGGCGTTTCCTTTGATATGCAGGATTAGAAATAATTTCTCTGCCCTTTATCCCAACAAAAACATTTGATCCTTTATTAAATGCAATAATAATATTTAACTAATTTAACAACTATTTGTTTTGATCCCTTAATAACTCAGTCTGCATCAATATTTGGCTGGAGTTTAAGTTGCCAGGAGGTAAAGGCTATTTTGGTTTAATTGCTTTTATAAAAGCTTCACATAATGCCATATCCTGTTAGGTGTTTCATAAAGATGTTTTATGATTGCATGCACTTAACATCACATACAGGTTAGGTGCTTTAAAACAGTAGCTAAATAGTTTTGTGTACGCAAATACTGAGGAGTTGGAAAAACACCATATTCATTCTCAGAGTCTATCAATTAAGATTTATTGATTGTATAATATTTATCCACTCATAGGTTAAGATGCTATCTTAATAGTCATAAAGTCTGGTTATAACATGGAAAATGTTTGTAACATAATAAAAGTAGCCACTCTTCACTGAGTACATACTATGCAACAGGAACTTGATATAAATCACCTCAAAGTTTCTTGACCATACCTCGAGGGATGTATTTTGTCCTCCTCAGTGTACAGATGAGGAAACAGAAGTTTACATAGCTTAGAGAGCTTTGCTACTGTTACTTAACTACTAGATGGTATTGAAGATTGTAACCAGGGCCTTTGACTTTTGAGTTCAAGAGTTTTTACTTCACTAACCAATATTAACACTACTGAAACAATTGGGATACAAAGTTTGCATGTGAAATGGTGCATGGTTTAGAAAACAAGGTACAACTAATAAAATGAAGACTCAACATGGCAGTGAGTGGAATTATCAGGGATTTGCTTTTTCAAAATTTTCTTAATTGTTTTTGCAAGAAATAACAATGGAAAAAAGAAAGGAAAAGTAAAAAAAGAGCTAAGACAAGTTCAACATTGAAGCACTCATTTCTTTTATATCAAAGGACTTGGATTAATTAGATAAACTTTGTATAATTTAATTTTTCTTAGGGAAAGCATATAAAGACCTGCTCAAGACTAAGTAGGCATGGTTGTTAAAGGAAGCGAACGTCTCGATGACAACCTAAAAAAGGAACTGATAAGAAGTAAGATGAGCCTCAAAAGACTGGTATTATTATGTTTTTAATAATGAAGGCATTAGCACTGCAATTGTTAGAATTTTATCTGTTCTATCGTGAAATAAGGATCTAGATAGTATGCAGTAATTAAAGATTGACTTTGATTTAGATAATCCATTTTAATTGCATTTTTAATTGTAGTGAAAATTTCATGAAGTACCATCTAAAAATGCTGATGTAGAAAGATTAGCTAATCAAGATCAAGCCGTTATATTTGAATTATTAGAAATGGACCATGAGTGGTTAAGTGTAAAATACATCTCTCAAGTAACACACAAGTCCCTGTAATCTCATCTCACCTTCTGGGAACAATGCATAACAAATTAAAGCTGGTTCATGAAATGTCATACAATCTGGCAGCAAGATTCTAATTGATGAAGAAACGGCTATTTTAATGATTCTTTAACAACCATAGAAAATTTCAATTACTGGGAACCATGACAAAAACCTGCTTAAGGGGACAAAATAATTTCTAACAGTTTTCTTCAACCAACTCAGAGGCCCCAGTGGACTATTTCTGATCTATACTCACTTTTTTTGTTTAGTTTGGCTGATCGGATGGACAGCTGATTTATACTGTGAATGTTTAAAAAATTATATACAAAATTAGAAAACGTAACTTGCAGTTTCCAGATATGCCCGGCCTACGATCACATTTCCCATGAACTCAGTGATCGATGTTAGTCTTGAGATGAATTTTTGACGTGTGAATTCAGGTTATATTGGTGGCCCTGCCCTCCTTTTTTTGTCCTCTGCATGCCAGTTCTCATTGCAGCATGTATCACATTGTATTTTTGGAATAGAAATTTATGTTTGGTCTCCCCCAGCAGGACATGGGGTACTGTATATGTTCAATGCATAGTTTGATGTTGAATAGATTATTATGACTTTCATTTTGATTAAATTATGGATGTTGTAATATGTGTTAATCTTCTGAGTACAATATCTCTATGTACTTCCTACAAACATATGGACACAATTTCATTATATCTATCTATCTATCTATCTATCTA